CTCTAAAGGGTTCAGACAGCAGCAGGTCTCCGTCAGAGTGCTCACCGAGCTATCTTCTGACCACCTCCCGTTGCTATTCCTGTTAAATGGAAAAGCTCAATTCCACAAAGGAGTCCCTAAAATGCTACCTGCACATGCAAACGTTGCCACCTTCAAGTCATACATCGATGCTCACACCGTGCTCAACACTGCAATAACAACCTGCAGCGATCTGGATGCATATGTCGATAGCTTCACTTCCACTATTATTGAAGCCGCCCAAAGAGCTACGCCACCTCAGCGCCAATCTGGTCTCCCACCTACCAGGAGGGCGCCTCTACTAACTCCGGAGGCAAGGGCACGGCTGGACGAAAAAAGGCACCTCAGAAGGCATTTCATTGTGTCTGGCGATCCTGCAACTAAGCAGCTTCTATCTAGCATTACAAATAGACTGCGCAGGTTGCTAGCGAAAACCCGTCAAAGAAACATTGATACCCTGCTGGAGGGAGCTGGCCCGGACAATTGCAGCGATTTTTCAATATGGAAGCTAACGAGAGGGATCAAAAGACAGCCGCTTGTCCAATCGCCAATACAAAACCACAGTGGCCGCTGGCTAAAGAGCGACTCCGACAAAGCTAACGCTTTTGCAGAACATCTGTCTGCCACCTTCACGCCTTTCGATCTTCCAGACGCTTCACACCGCGACGAAGTTGCAAACTTCTTAAACGCTCCTATTCAGCCAGCGCGCCCCATAAGGCACACTACGCCGCAAGAAGTCATGCTGCAATTAAAGGCGCTTAATTTAAAAAAGACTCCTGGACCCGATGGCATCGACAATAGAGCGGCAAAGGCTCTTCCACCTAAAGGAGTGCTAGCGCTGGTGAAAATTTTCAACGCCATGCTAAACCTGGGACACTTTCCAAGACAGTGGAAGCAAGCCCGGATCATTATGATCCCAAAGCAAAGCAAGCCACTATCTCAAATCGACTCCTACCGCCCAATCAGTCTGCTATCCATTTTGTCAAAAGTGTTCGAGCGGATTCTACTCAGTCGACTGTTGGAACTACCACAAGTAGAAGGCCATATTCCTCAACACCAGTTCGGCTTCAGAAAATCCCACGGCTGCCCAGAACAAGTACATCGCCTGGTCAACCACATCACCCACGGACTCGAGCATAAACTGCACACTATAGGCGTCTTCCTTGATGTTAAACAAGCCTTTGACAAGGTGTGGCACGAGGGCCTTCTTTACAAAATCAAGGAACTTCTCCCTGCACCCTATTTTGCCATCCTAAGGTCTTTCATTGCCGATCGATCCTTTGTTGTAGCAGTAAGGGACTCACTATCCAGCTTATCACAGGTTCACGCAGAAGTGCCCCAAAGAAGTGTACTTGATCCGTTCCTATACACCATGTTTACAAGCGATATGCCAGTTCCGTCGCCCACCACAGACGCTCGTATGCTTCTGGCTACTTACGCCGACGACACGGTCCTGCTTGCATCCCACTCGTCTCAGCTGACGGCTTTGGCTGCTGTTTAGGACTGGCTAAGTGCGATGGAGCGCTGGACCAAGCAATGGAACATTGCTATAAATTGCAGCAAGTCGGCATGCGTCACTTTTTCATTAAGACTTGTGATCGACATCGTGCACACATTCAATGGTGACACCATTAAAAACGCCACCTCTCACTGGTACTTGGGTTTACACTTAGATCACTGGCTCATATGGAACACCCACATCACGGCGATCAGAGCTAAGTGCATTCGCAAACTCCAGAAGCTCGATTGGCTCCTGAGATCCAAAAGCCTCCAGCTTTCGACTAAAGTTTTACTCATCAAGGCAATCCTTACGCCAACATGGACGTATGCTATCGAGGTATGGGGCACTGCATCCAAGCACCAGCTAAACAGGCTGAGGGTAGTGCAGGCACGTGCTGCTCGACGGGCATCGGGACTCCCCTGGTATGTGACAAACCAGGCCATCCAAAACGATCTACGCCTTGTTCCTGTGGGCGACCTACTAAATCAACACAGCCGACGGTACTCGGATAGGCTAGCGAGTCACCCAAATCCACTGGCTAGCAGGCAGGTCGGCCCGCAAACTCTTAGACGTTTGAAGAGATTCCACCCCAGCGATTTGTCTTCCCGTGTTGTACACTAATTTTGCAAATATGTAAATAGTTGTAAATTATTGTATATAGTCTAGGCCCATTCTTCATATGTACCATACACACCCCATCTCCTAAACGCCCGGTTATGTTCAGATGGTCCTGAACGATTCCGGCGACAATAACAAAAATCTAATTTAAAAAAAAAAAAAAAAAAACCTTTGCGAAGAAAACACGTTGGATTTCTTTGATGAGTAGATGTGTGCCACCTTTGACATCATCGACTGGGAGCGGTCCTTTACGCCGCGTTTGCTTTTGGAATTTGAGAAGCCAGAACCGGTATATATATCCAAAAACTCGCTGCAGCTTTCCAAATGAGTTTTGAAATTTGCAATCGTATGATATATCCTGCTTCTCGGTTACAACTAGAACCATGCGACGACGTTCAGGCAAGTTGTCCACAACAGGCGTTATATTTGGCCAGCACGATGAATCCAAACGTAAAAATGGAGATCCCTATCGCCACAGGTTCGACTCCAAAAGCTTGAGAGGTGAGCATCCATGCGATAATATGTCGGCAGGGTTCCAGTGTGTGGGTACATGACGCCATATCATGCCCTTGGTGCGATCCTGAATCTGCGCAATTATGTTGGATACAAAAATATTAAAATCTGATGGAGCTTGACGTATCCAAGAAAGCGTTATGGTTGAATCAGACCAACAATAAAAATTACAATCCGATGAAATGGTTAGGCCAATGTTTGAGATGAGCTCTGATAACAATAGCGCTGGGCATAATTCCAATTTTGGTATAGTGAGGGTTTTTAGGGGCGAAACTCTAGATTTGGAACAGCATAAATGAGTTGAGACACAGCCATGAAGTTTAGATCTGACGTAAACGCAGGCGCCATACGCTGCTAAACTTACGTCACAAAAAGCGTGTATCTCCAACGACGAGTTAGGCTGCATAACGAAACGAGGAAATTTTTAATGCTTGACCGCTGAAATCTGCTTCATGTGCTCCAGCCATGATGAGTGCAAAGATTGCGGAAGCGACTCGTCCCAACCCAGTTTGTCTTTCCAAAGAATTTGCAGAAATATTTTCAATTTCGTAACAATCGGTGCTATCAATCCGAGAGGGTCGTAGAACTTGGCAACGGCCGATAAAATCGATCTTTTCGTTGAACCACTTTCTGTCATAGTTCCAGACAATGAGAAAAGCAAGTGATCCGATTATGCATCCCAATATAAGCCGAGTGCTTTGAGAACTTCATTCCATCATAAAATCTTGGCGTTTTCTCGCGATTAATTTCTGGCTCGCCTTCTAAAGCTGCTTCCTCATTTGAACACCATTTTCGAATTGGAAAATGACCCTTGGATAGCAATTCCTTCACCTGCTCACGAATTTGAGCTGCCTCCTCGATCGAGTCACCTCCAGATATGAGATCGTCTACATAAAAGTCTCTTCGAACTATTTTGGCTGCCAACGGGAACTCAGCTTCCTCATCATAGGATAGCTGCTGCATAGCACGAATTGCCAGAAATGCAGCCGGCTTAGTGCCATAGATCACCGTATCGAGCGTATAAGCCTTGACTTGTTGATTTGGGTTGTCACGCCATAAGATAGACTGCAAATAGTTATCAGGGCTAGTGACACGGACACATCGATAGTTTTTGCAGATGTCCCCGCATAATGCAACTTTGAAAAAACGAAAACGCAGCAGTGTGTTGAAGATTTTGGGCTGTATTGAGGGACCTGCAAACAACAAATCATTTAATGAGTATACTGATGTCGTTTTAGCTGAGCCATCGAATACAACTCGTAACTTTGTGGTTGTACTATCTGGCCTCTGCACACAATGATGAGGCAAGTAATATTGCGAGGTTACTGATTGCTCAGAAGCAAGCGACATTTCAGTAGCTGTTGATTTCCCAAAACCGTTTGACGCTGTCTGGCAAAGATTTGGTCTCAGATTGGATGACGGGCTCAGTGGTCACTGCAAGTGCTGAATGCTTCATGTTTGAGAACGAAATCCCTCCAGATGCGATCCAGCCAAGACGCGTTTTTTGCAAAATGGGCAGATTTTCGGCTAATCGCATTTGCCCAACGCAAAGCAATTCGTAAAAGATGCCAGCTCCTATCAACAAATCGATACGCTGACTATTGTAGAACCACGGATCAGCAAGAACAAGATTCGGTGGTATGTTCCACCCTAGGGCGTTTAAATCGAAATGAGGTTGATAATCCGTAATTTTGCCACTAATTACTGCTGTCAGTGCTGTGCGATATTTTCTATCCCTGGAGTGTGCTTCGATATCGACGGTTGCGTTTGATGAAAATGATGATTCACCAACTCCAGAGATAGATGTGTTTGCTTGACGAGTAGTGAGTTGCAACTGCTTAATGAAACGAGAAGTTACGATGTTGATTTGAACACAAGAATCTAACAAGGCTCTGCAGGGAACAAATGCACCAGATCGATTTCTGATGTATACGATGGCAGTGGCAAGCAGCACACAATCGGTCTTACTATCTGACGAGACAACAGGTGGAGCTTCAGAGAATGATGATGATAAAAGCGAAACGACATTTTGAGGGTTAATAGCGGTAGTTGGAGGAGAGGGTGTGGCGATGGCATTAGAATCGATGTGAAGCAACGAATTATGCTTCGAATGGCACCGTTTGCAAGAAAAAGACTTGCACTGTTGCATACCATGGCCTTTGCGCAAACAAATTAGGCACGAGTGCAGCCTTTAAGCCTCCTTATATAGCAAGGTGGGACTGAGGTTTAAAAACTGAGCGCATTTAGAAATAAAATGGTCTCTACTTTCACACATGCTACATGATGAGGTATTTAATGATGATGCTACGAGAGCGTTGTGAATACTTTTGTTAGTGTTTGGTTTTCCCACCTAGGTGTCTGGATTACCATAGCGTTTTCCAATATTCTCCAACATGCGGCACCTCTTTTCCAGGAATGCAGCCATATCTTTCCACTTCAGCAGCTTGTTTGCCGGCAGACCCTCTTCCCATTTCTCCCGAGTGTGGCGATCCAACTTCGAAGCTACCATATAGATTAGAAGACCGTCCATGATCTCCTGTGTCGTTGTCATGGTATTCAGCGCACGCAGATGCGAATTCATCTGGTCGCTTAAGCGTCGTAAGCTTGTTGCCGATCCTTGCTCCACACCTGAAATCCCGCAGATTGACCGTATATGTGCCTGAAAATGCAAAAGTTTGTTATCGAATCTCGAAACTAATAATTCAATAGCTTTTTCATAGTTAGCTTCCGTGGGCTCCAGTGAACGAATTGTGTCCAACGCTGTGCCATCCAAGCATGAACGAAGATGCTGGAACTTTTCCACGTTGCTCAGATCATCATTATTGCCCACAATGGTGTTGTACATTGCGTAGAAATCAGGCCAATCGATATAGGCACCGCTGAACCATGGCAACTTGAACTCTGGGAGTCTTGTGGCACGCGCAGCGGGTCTCGAATCACCACCGACATGTGGAAGGGCCGTAGAATTCACGACTGAAAATCTACGCTGCTTGCCAAGCTCACGCGAAATTTGCGATTTTGCCGCGAGGAAGATGTTTGCGAACTTTGACCGAGCGTCACTGTACAACTCCTGCAAGTCTAACCTTTCGACCGCGGTTTGACTTTTATCAAAGTCCACTTGCATTTGATCGACAAAATCAAATCGCACTTGAAGATCAGTCACGTCGAAGCTGACCGCCTCATCTGACTCCAGGTAGCTTTTTAAAGCTTCTACCTGCCTTAAGGTAGCATCAGCCTTTGCTTTATAAAAGTCCAAGTCACTTGGTACCGCCGCGGGTCTTGCACCAACCGAATCACTATCAGCCATCATTTTCAAAAAGAGTATACGAAAGTCACTATTACCGTAAGCTGCCGATGCAACTGCACGAAATTGAATGCAAGAGACGAACATGCAACGGAACAAATTCGCAAGCGTTCAGTGACCTAACACGGCTTATATATGCACTGCACTTTATATAACCAAGCTCAAACTGTGGTTATGTATACGAACAAGATCACAAAAGAAAGCGCGCCAAATAATACCCAAGCACAGGAATATATGTATGTATGTTTGTAGGCCTCTTCACCGAATTGCGAAGTGGTGTCCAAATGCACTGATAGGCCTTTTCACCGATTTGTGAAACCGAAAAACGAAATAAAAAACACACCCCACGTAGATCACGTCGGGGTCACCAAATGTTTAGAGGACTGCAACTAATTTGTTGCTACCGCTTTATGCATTTAATAATAAGGCCAATGTTTTGTGATTTAAATGAGATGTGATTTTTTGTATTTGGGTTTCTGAGTATTATTTGGTTTAAGTTTATGTACAAAGTTTATGTAATTTGTGTACCTATACACGGTCGCGACCGAAAATTTGTCGAAACGTGTACTTGCGAGGGTGAAGCGAGAACGAACGAACGTTGAATGCATGTAAGTTTAGAGTTGCGAATAGAAGGATGATAATGAAGATAGAGAAAATAAATAAGCAAAGTTAGGTGCGATTGCAATTAGACGGGTGTTGGTAAACAACTTTACGCTTAAGTTACGTTACGTTACATTAGCAGTTAGACTTTGAATTTCGAATAGAATTTACAAGTTAGGGGTTCTGCTCCCAAAAATGGCCCTTTTTTGGCCTTTAAAACCTTACCCCCCCCTTATTAGAACTTTAGATGGCAAATCTGTCGCATAACGTCATTTGCAGTAAGCGCAGATTTTTCATCTATTTACAATATTATTAGCACTTATGCAGTGTATAAACAGTGAGTTAAATTTATAAATAAACTTTAGTAATAATATTTTGTGATAAATTTTAAAGTCGTCATGTACTAAGCAGTTACTAGAAGTAAGTAATATATCTGTTATCTTTTTGTTTATTTACAATTTTTAGGCTAATTGTTTTGAAGGCTAGGTAGTTCTAATATTTACAAATAACATGTTGCATTTTAGCTTGCAACTCGTCATTATATAATTCAATAAATCCTTTTCCATAAAATAAAAATATTTGATAAATTCGCTTTTCTAAATTTTAAGTTCAGAAACAAAATTTAATTAATAATTTCTAATATAGACAAAAAACTCGTGGCATTTTTATTTACAATTCGTCATTTGATAACTATAGAAATTCCAGATTTTAAATTAAAATTTTGTCAAGAGAATTTATGAACTATTGTTATTTATATTTTATGCAAAAATGATTTATTGAAGTCTTGAAATCAAATTGAGGTCAGGTATTTTTACTATTTACAAAAAATCACGAGAAATTTTAATTTAATAACATCTGAGATATTACTATATAATTTTTCAAACAATATAAAATAAATTTATTTTAATCATTCTCTTTAATTATTAAAGAAATAAATTTGAAAAGCTAAATTTATAATTTGTATTAATTTTCAACACTTTCAATATTTTAATGACAATTAAATTCCTAACATATCTTCCTCTTTCTCTTTCTTTAAGTCTCGAAAATCTTATGTTTTAGATTTGTATAAATATAGACAAGACTGATAAATTAGTTCGCCAAAGAAGTTTCACTTCTGACATGTGTACTTTGTACGCACGCACTTTTTTTTGGTAAATTGATAAATTAGATATTTTTTATTGTCACTGATGTCTGATGTCACAGATTTTAAAATTTTTCACTTTCGTTGTTAAGAATAAGGCTTTGAAAACGGCCAAATACAGCTGCCAATGGCCATTTAAACTGTATTTATTTTATTAACGTCGATTTTTCCACACCAAAATTTTTTTTCTTTCGATGTTTCTCCTAAGGCCTTGCAAACGCCCAAATACAGCTGCCGATGGCAATTTCAACTGTATTTATTTTGTTAATGTCGATTTCTCGACCAAATTTTTTAATATTTGTTTGTATTTAACAATAAGAACACTTTTGTGTTAGAGGCCGCGTTTGCTACCGAAGCGGGAGAGTTATCTTTGACCCCCGCACAGCAACCTTTTGGTGTGAACAAATCTTACAGTGATAAGTATATTTTAGACTAAAATAGCTTGTTCGGTCATGCCATAGCCTAAATCAAACCACTAATTTCAAATCGTAACGTAAAACCAAATTCTCGATGTTCTCCTTTTGTTTTGCTATTTGCCCTGCGCGGCAACACTGTTTTGATTGCCATTGCTAACTACCTTTGCACTTTTTCGCTTATCGCTTCCTGGCCTTGTCCACGGCAAGCTTCACCCCAGTCCGAATTTGTACACGCTCATAGAAGGCACGGTCGCTGAACGCCTGCCTATTTACTCTTCGGCTATATACTCTTCGCGACGTTTAAGGCACAGACAAATCGGTCTGCCTGCCCAACATAACTTTAAATAGTTCGATTTTGGTACTCGCTTACACAAGGCACGATCGCTGATCGCCTGCCAACTCTCGGCTTATATAGGTACTTTCGCTTAAGGCACAGACAAATCGGTCTGCCTGCTAAAATACCTTTTCGCGACTAAAACGGCACAGAGAAATCGGTCTGCCTGCTCATCATATTTTCGGCTATTTAAAAGGCACAGACAAATCGGTCTGCCTGCCTAATTCCTAATTCAAACCTACATAAACAATAAATCTGTATATTAAGGCCTTGGTGCCATTGAAATAAATAAGTGCATTATTTAAGAGAAATTTGTGCGGATTATTTTATTTGGGCACCGACAAGGTAATGGTTAGTAAAAAAGCTTACTGACCCAACATATTGGTGACCCCGACGTGATCGTGAAACAATTAAAATTCGAAAAATCGAAAAAATAATTTATTATTTTCGTTCGTTAAAAGTTGGTGATCGTGCATATACATAACTTCAGCAGAACATAAGCGCAACATAAGCTTCGCTAAACCCTCGCACAGACCCGCCCCCCGCACATTGTAAAGTGCATTTCGTTTTCTTTTGTGCCGTCGTTCCCGCTTTAAACGTTTTTACAGCGGCGACAAACGTTTTGTTCGCGGGTTCAGTGCCTATATATATATCTATACATTGTGACAATAAAGTACCCGGAATTTCCCGTTTAAATTGCCCGCGTAAGAGATATTTGAAAAAATTTTTTTTTGCCAAGTTGATACGACCGTTCTCCATTAAGAAGCGAGATTTGAGTGGGATATGTCAACTAGTTTGTTTACAACAGCTAGTTTTGTAAGTTCACCTCAGCTGTGCTCCGCGATTTTTGGTTTTTTCGGTTTCGGTTCGTTTTTCTTCCTCCATTCTGATGATTGTTGACTTGTTTGCATGTCGTACTCGTACACCCATGTCTTATCACCAGTTATTATTCGATTCATGAATGTGAGATCGGAATTCGCACGATCAAGCATGACCAAAGCGACTTTCTCACGGTACTCTTTTTGAAAGAAATTCAGGTGTTTTGGAACAAGCCGTGCAGCGACGCGTCTCATGCCTAAATTTTCCACCAAAATTAAACGAACGGATTCGCGAGAGATGTTCAGGTGTTGTGCTACCTCTCTAATACTCACATGACGATTTTTAAGAACGATTGCTTTCAATTTGCTGATGTTTTCATCGGTGTTAGAGGTGGATGGTCATCCAGACCTAGGCAAGTCGTCCACGACTTCTCGTCCTTCACTGAATGCTTTATACCATTCATATGCTTGAGTTTTCGATAAAGCCATAAGTCTTTTGTAACATTCGCAACGCTTCAGCGCACAAAATTCCGTTGGATACACAAAATTTGGGACAAACTCATTGTTCAATTTATATCCATTACAAAAATCGCGGAGCACAGCTGAGGTGAACTTACAAAACTAGCTGTTGTAAACAAACTAGTTGACATATCCCGCTCAAATCTCGCCTCTTAATTAAAATGGACCTACTAACTTGGCAAAAAAATTTTTTTCAAATATCTCTTACGCGGGCAATTTAAACGGGAATTTCCGGGTACTTTATTGTCATAATGTAGGTATATATACTAGCTGCCCGTCCCAGCTTCGCCCGGTTTTTTTTAAATAGTTACCTTTCACACAAATATTATAAAGAGGTAAATTTGTTTGCTTGTTTGTTTGTTTGTTTGTACTCGCGTCCTCGCGCACGCGCTATCATTATCACTATTTCTAACAATTTTATTATTGTAACAACTCCCAAATTTATTATTGTAACCATATATCCGATTTGAATGAATTAAAAAAAATATTGAAAGCTAGATACATACCCTTGATAATAAAACAATAAATTTGGATAAGGATTCATGCCATGACGCGAGTTTAACCTATTTTTGTTCCTGAAGGCGAATTAATTTTATTTTTGAACACAAAAACTGTTATTTTTGGCTAAAGTACGATCGTAGAATAAACAACCTCGCGGACTTTTTTGTAGATATTAGTTATACCTATAATACCGTAGTACATTATTTTGTTCTGTCATCAATAGTTTTGCCAGCGCAAGAAAGATTTTCGTTTTTCCACCTTTTGTTAAAATATTGCAATTTTCTTACGGATACCAAATTTTTTCAAAATAAATTATAGCCTATGTTACTCCCCGATAATGTAGCTTTTTATCGGTCAAAGAATTTTTTAAATCGGGCCAGTAGTTCCGGAGCCTATTCTTTACAAAAAAACAAACAAATTTGACCTCTTTATAATATTAGTGTGATTACCTACTGAGTTTGCAATGTATAAGCGGAAAAATTTGTAAAATTATTAAAACATTAAAAACCCTAAAAATAATAAATATTTTTTTAACATATTGTGAATCTAAACCATCCTCAAACCGCCTGGAATACACACAAAAATTTCATAAAAAAAGGTCCAGCCGTTTAGGAGGAGTACAATGACTAACACGCGTATAGAAGATTTTCTCAGAAGATTTCCCGTCACACGGG